AACGTTTATTGAAGAAAAACTATGTAAAACCTCCCTAAGGTGGGATAAAGGTTCAATGTATGACATTTTGATTTAGCATGTGATACAATGTGTCCTAGTTAGATTTCAAACGACAACACATAGATAAAAATTAAATCAATTAAACAAAAGATTTCAGGTTATAAAATATATCTGTTAAACATATTCGCATGTTATATTGAAAGTACGAGACTTTTAAATAACATGAATAAATCAAATTGCTTATTATTAATTAGAGTTTAATTTGATATATAAAACAAAGTTTGCACAGTATTATCGAGTTATTGAAATAGATAATCAATGCTGACTGCTGGTGTTTTTTCCCTTTAGATTTATTTAGATTTATGTACATAGAAAGGTGCCAAACCGAAATTAAATAAGTAGCGTTCCAAGTCGCACTTAGCCGTAAATTAAATACGAATTGTTTTTAAAACGATATATTACCTAGAAGGAAGATAGATCAGTAAACTCAAAATAATTTTATCCCACTATATATATTTATATTCAGTCAGTTGGTTTGTTGTCTGTCAGATCTATGTCGTTTTAGGGATAGAGGTTGAAAATTAGGTGTTGGTGTTGGTGGAAAATCTTTGATAAGTTCTGTTCAGTCTTTTTACATCTGTTTCAGATTCGAGACATTTAATACCTATCTAATGTTGAAGAATGTTTGTAATGCCTTTTTGATGTCATTGGATATTGTGTCTTTGGTGTACTGTTTTGAAGTTTACTCCTGATATCCTTATATTCTTGAATTCTTCACCTCTTGCTGCTGAAGTAAAACAAAAGACATTTTCATGTCAATATGAGGTCACTATGTCAACTATTCTATTGTCACTCATTATGATAGCATTAAAGCGTAATGATAGGGCTATTTAAGTTGGTGACCGAAAATAGTAATGCAAAGATAAAGCCTAAACAAACAACGACAACTAAGGTTCAACTCCCTTAGACATATTCAATCGTAAATTTGGCAATTCTTTTAAGGTCCTATTTGGTGATTTTGCTCCTCACGTATCAGAACATACTTGAATTTCAACTTTTTCATTTGAAAGTCCGTGTGTGGGTATGTCCAGAGACGCACTTAATTTAAAGCGTGCTTTTGAAATTGATATTTTGAAGATTTAGCAACACGAAATCAAACTGTAAATGTACTCCGATCTTCTATCAAAGAGTAAGCTTTTTTTATTTATTTGTTCACCAAATCGTGTTGCTCGTGTCGAGTACAAATTGCCATATGCTCGGTCGCACTTGGCGATACTGAGTACAAAACATTCATGGAAAAGAGGACATGGATATTGCAGCGACATTTTCTGTGAAACCTACGTACACAGCCAAAATATATTCACGTGAATTTCACCTGGAAATTTTCCCGTATAACTCACAAGATTTGAAATTTTGTGAACAGAATGTTGCTGTGTATACTCTATATATTTTTTTTCTAGATTATATAATCTTAAATGAGCTGAAATCTTAAAACATTTGAGAGTGAAACTGCGAAACAAGAACATTAAACAATAAAAAATGTAGTGTATGAATCAAATAAAGCAAACAATCGATTCAACACTTATAAAGAGATTTCTTCTATTCAGTCTTTAATTTACCTAAAATAATCATTCTATGATTTGTAAGTTAAGCGCTCGTCATAAAAAAAATCCACAGGTGTAAACTGCAGGTACAATACTTTATGTTTCCTATATTTGATATAAGTAATAAAATGATATTTTGAGCCATGTCAATTTTATGTTACCTTGGTTATATCACGTTTCCTCATAATCAGGGTTCACTTAGGGATTGAAAACAATATAAAAATCCGGGTCAAAAGAAAAGAAACTTTTTTGTGTTAATCATGAACTCTTGAAAAGCTAAAAAAAAAAAACCTTACCCTTCCCAAGTGTTTCAGCTTCATAGAAAAAGAAAGCTATATCTATTCTACGCTGACCTAATATTGTGTGTTTATAGTATGTTGTCTAATAAATACATTGATTACTTACTAATTATTTAAACAAAAAGGCTGTTTTCAAATTGTTTAATTATTGCATAATCATAACTCTATACTATCATTCCAGGCATATATAGTTCTTGTCATTTTTTAAATGTTTAATAAGCGATATATAATGAGCAATACCTCATCAAAATTTGGGTTAATTTGATATAGTATGCAATACCTGTTTGGGAAATTTTGTTCATTAAAATGAAGGAAAGTTTGATATCTGATTCAAAGGTTAACACACGCAGTGCCCGAGGACAACGTTCATATCATCACAAGGCAGAATAGTTATTCAATTATATAACGAAGTATAAAGGTGAATAAAGTATTATATTTTAGTGATGTACCTTGCCTTATTCATAGTGATTTTTTTTTAAACAATGTGAAATTAATTTATTCTAAACTGGGTTTACCGAGGGAAATCTTATGTTTAGTTGTACCGTTGGTAAGAGGACGTTAGGGCATGAAGGGGTACCTTCAGTTGTTTCCATCTAATAACTTATGAACAGTTCTTCCAATGATAATCAAATTTGAATATTGTGTTTCTAATCAAGTTTAACAATATTAAAATAAGAAGATGTGGTATGATTGCCAATGAAACTCTCCACAAGAGACCAAATGACACAGACATTAAGACCTAAAGTGGACCATACGGCCTCCAACATTGAGCAAAGCCCAAACCGCGTAGTCAGCTATAATAGTCCCCGAAATGACAGATGTACACTATTCAAACGAGAAAAACTAACGGCCTGATTTGTAGAAAATAATGAAAAAAAACAAATATGATATACAGCAACAATCTACAACCAATGAATTACAGGCTCCTCATTTGGGACAGGCACATACATAGTGTTGAGGGGTTTAACACGTCACCAGGCACCCAACCCTCTCTATAACCTTGGACAGTGGTTAAACAGTACAACATATATAAAAACTATAAAATTCAATTGAAACGGGCTTAACTCATCAGATAGATACAAAGCAAAAACAAGTAACAAAAACACAGACGTGGCAAGGTACTTATACATCCCCACAACAAAAAGACACTAAGTACAGATCTTAGAGTACTAGCAGTTACTGACAGCTAGTTCAAAGCTAATTAAAACTAATGAAAACAAATCATGCAACTTAGATCAATTATTACACATTCAACCTCCGATAGATTTACTGTGAAGACGTCATGAACAGTCAGAGAAAAGCAATGGTTGTTTTCCCAATAAAGAAAACTCAATTCGCAGTCGTTTTGCCAGTGTAATACTTGTTGTTTGTATGTTGTTATTTTTTTTTTTTTTTTAATTCTTTTTGTTGATTATTTTTTGTTTGATTGTGTGTGCTAATTGTGTTTTTTTTCCACTATTATTCTCAATCTTTATATTCGGTTTTGCATATTTCTTTTTTGTTTTTTTTTACTTACCCTTTTTTGCTCAGCATATCTTTCTACATTTTTTCTATCTTCTTTGTAATTTGTTATAGATATTCAGAGCTGGTAACCTAGTTTATATAAAGTCAAAAATCAAATTAAGATTTACATGAAAACTTCAAACATCGATTTGGATTTGCTAGATCATGACGATTTGAGTTTTTATATATATTTTCATTTCCCACCCCATCTTCAAACATAACATCATGCCAGACGACTTTACAATTTATCAATTTTAAACTATTTGGTATTATTTCTTCTTTAATTCAAATGAGAAGCTGCAATGTTACAGAAAAAAAACCCAGAAGCTATGCACTAATTATATATTTAAGTAACACAATAGTATACAAATCCAATTACAAGTGTTCATGTTGTTTCAAAAAACATTTACTTGCATTCGTATACATATACGGACTTGCAATCGTTATTGATAACAAACAGTTTTGTGAAGTCATTGTTAAAACATATTTCATACGGACGTGTAATGTCTTTGTCTTTGTTCAGCATCTCTATACAGTTTTTTTTCCAGCTGATGATAGTTTATGTATGTTGTCGGTTATGTAACCTGTGTACGCTGTGTATCAAGTGTTACTCCTGTACTAAAAACGTCCTTACTGTATACAGGTGTCCCATCTAATTTGACACAAAGGAGATTACCTAGACATCTAATAATCAATTGACCATGAATATCATCGTATGTCATAAAGTAAATATAATCATATCCGTTGAATTCGTTTTAAAATTTTCCCTCTCATGTCTAATGTTTTGATGTACCACCTTATCCACCAACGTTAGTTTTGTCACGTCTAGCAATGATACCGACATGTAAATCCGACGTTTACTTTGTCGCTCTTTGTCATCGTTAAGGTGTTTGTATACTGATTGGGAGGTACTGTAACCACAGCACTGTGTATACCAGGTATCAAAGCTATACCATAAAGTCGAGAGGAAAATGTAACCTCTGTCTCATTATCGTTACATTCGCTGTACACATACAGTTTTGGATCTAATAACCAATCATTAGTGGGGAGTATCAAAGTATCATTTGTGATTGATTCAGCTTGAAGATCGGATGTCACGCCAGTTTTACGTTTTAATTCTGTACCCATCTTACACCCAACAATGCGTTTGGTTGGTTCTGCCTTTATCTGAGCCTGTATAAATTTCCTTGGTTTGTATTGAACTTGACATGGTTGAATATACACTAACCGTGACCCGAGAAACTAAATGTTTACCACTTCCTTTTCATCAAAGGTAATATCGATTTCCTGTGTGTTGTAGTTGTGTGTGTTATTTTTTTACACAATTATTCTATATTTTTTTATTTATTTTTGTGTATTTAATTTTTCACTTTGCATATTTAGCTCTAAATATCTTTCTATATTTTTGCTTATTTCTATTTTCTTTGCAGATTGTTAAAATTAGTAAGAGCTGCTTACTAGGTTCTGATTTAACTAAATATAGTATTTTACATCTTTTAAAATCAACTTCAGATTTATATGTGCAATGTCAAACAACGAATTTCATTGGCCAGACCTAAACGATCCGTGGCGTGTATTTCTAGAAGTCTTTGAGCTCGTGAGTTTTGTGAGTTTTAATATTAATGTCAATATTGTAGAAGACATACAGAAATGAATACCATAACCTGTATAACAAATGAAAATTTCACTATCGGTATATGATTATTCAGATCACTTCAACATTATTATTATTATATTTTAGAGCTGATTAATAGAAGGCACGATTACAAACTATGTTACAATATATTAGTTTGTTTCATTTCATTATGGATTTCAAATATTTTCAATTTCGAACCTTCGGTCTTTAATTTCACACAACTTTTAAATGACAAATACTGAAAGGCATTGCTAATTGTCCTTCTTCACTTCATATAAAATAGAAAATTGCACTGCAAAAACTAAAACTATGCACTTTTGTATATATCAAAGTAAAATATTGATATACAAATCCCATTTCAAGTATTTATGTTAATTACAAGTATATTTACTTGCATTTGTATACAGATACGGACTTGCAACCGTTATTGATAACAAACAGTTTTGTGAAGTCATTGTTAAAACACATTCCAAACGGATGGTTAATGCCATTGTCTTCGTTCAGCATTTCTTCACAGTGTTTTCCATCTGATGCCAGTCTCTGTATGTTGCTTGTAAGGTTACCCCCGAAATAAATGTTCCCCTGTCGATCAAATGTTACACCTGCTGTTCCTGAAACATCCATTCTATGTATAAGTGTTCCATCTAATTTAATACAAAATAGTTTGCCAGAACATCTAACTATCAATTGTTCATGAATATCATTGTATGCCATAAAGAAGATATCATCAGAGGTTTGTTGAATTGTTTTTAAAATTGTCCCTTTTGTGTCTAATGTTTTGATAGTACCACCGAAACTACCAACGTAAATTCTCTCACGTCCAGCAGTGATACCATAACACAGAAATCCAACGTTAACTTTGTCGCCCTTTGTCATCGTTGTGGTGTTTATAAATTGTATAGAGTTATCGTAAGGTAGAGTAACAACAGCTCTGTCGGTACCGGGTATCACAGCAGCACCACAAGGTATAGTGGAAAATGTTATATCTGTCTCATAATCTTTACAGTCTCTGTAGACATACATTTTCGGTTCTGAGTACGAATCATTAATGAGGAGTAGTTTATTATCATTTGTGATTGATACAGCTCGAAGATCATATTTCACCCCAGGTTTTAGTTTTACTTCCGTATCCTTCTCAAATTCAGCAATGCGTTTCATTGGTTCTGCATTTATCTGGGCCTGTTGAAATTTCCTTGGTTTGTATTGAACTTGACATGGTTGAGTATACTCTAACAGTGACCCTAGAGACTCAAAATTTACCACTTTCTTTTCATCAAAGGTAATATTGATTTCTTGTGAATCGGATATCATCTGCTGAATCTTTGTCTCGGCGGAATGAATATTTGTTACTTGTTGAAGTAAGAATATAAAGACCTGATTATTTGATCCATGATCTCTCAAGAAATCCATTTCATTTTTATTTTCTTTTACATTGACCAAGACTTGTAATATGTCTTGTTTTTGTTTGTTGATTTCCATTTCATGTTTTATTTGGAGAGAAGAGAAACTGGTGGTAAGTTCACGCTCCAGCTCGTCAATTTGTTTCAACAATTTGGATTTTACTGCTCGCATCTGCTTAGTTATTACTGATTTAGATTTCTCTAATGATTGTAAGTTTGACTGTCTGTTATCGTTTAAAGCATTCAATGTTGTAATATAATGCGTTATGTCTTCCATAACATCGTTAAACAGTGCAGACTTTTTAACATTTTTCGAGGCAAGTTCCAATGGAATTACATTCTGACAAACCCTGTGTTCATTAGAAATACAGGCTTTACAGCATACGATCTCATGGTCTGTGCAGTAATAATCCAAAAGCATTTCTGAATGGACGTTGCAGCTTTTCTTTGCAGACGTAAGAATATTGGATCCGATGGACGACAGGTCGATAACATGGTGAGATTTGAATGCTTTGGATCGGCAATGTGATTCCCCACAGTCTGTACAAAGCCTTTCTTCACAATCGGAGCAATACTTTGTTGCTGTTAATGACTTATTAGCTTCAGAGCAAGGATCACAGAAACTAGCAGATGCCATAGGAAAACTTCTGAAACAAAATAAATTATGTGGTTTTTTTATACTTCAAGCAAAAGATTTTTCAAGATTTTCTGTATTTAAGCAAGTTTTTCAGAGCAGTTTTAGCAGTGATGTTTGAGTATATTCCAATGCGACAACAACTAAACTAGACAAAACCACAAAATACATTGAGAGTTTAATTTCTAGGGGAACTTTGTTTTTGTCTCGATATTATGAAAATTTAGAAACAAAACATCTTCCAAAAAGATAATAAATGTAAGTGTCGTCTGTTGATAAAAAAAGGTACATAGTAAAATACCAATGTATATGAGGTTATTGTTGTTTTCACAAGAACAAAAAAGGAAGAAAATCGATGAGAGACATTCTTTGACTAGTGAACTTGACCAGAGACATATTCTAATAACTTGATCGTTTTCCAATTAATGCTTATTGTAAGGAATACACAGATGATGCACCCGCTTGTATATAATGTAATAAAGGGACATATCTCAAGAACGGTAAAAGTGACGCTACCAAAATTCAAATTTGATCTGTGTGTTGTGGTAATAAGCATTGTGTATAACATTCCTAACAATTGGTTGAGGCAAACTAAAGTAGGAGAACGGAAACCAATTTTCTAACGCAAGGAGATACGGATGGGAATACACACGGAAAAGGGTAAAACTTAATCCCCCTGTTTGAAATAGTAACGGTGGTCAAGTTTCGCATCAGATCGTGCAAAATGTTATTTGTATATTTTGATATGAAACTGGATTAATGAGCTCATTGTTTTATGCAAAAATAAAACACATGAACCCATTGTTGTGTTATATTGTTTGCTTGGGTTTATTTCTGATATTTGGTTGTTTTTTTATATTTTTAAAGCATTATCTGACATACAAAAAAATGGAATTTCAATGCTATAATAAATCTCATCAAAGTCACCAGGCCTATAATTTCATACACCAGACACGTCTGTCGTCTACATAAAACTCATCAGTGACGCGGGAATCAAAACAGTTGGAAGACCAAATCAATGCAACACAACAAACATTTCATATAAATTACTACAATCACCCTTTGTTTGATAAAAGTAAAACATTTACTCTACAACAAGCGATATTGACGGTTGAAACGATTCGCACTTTCCTAACAGTGATTTTTTTCTTCCGTTTTAGTTACATAAAGAAGAAACAGAAAAAGATACAAGTTTTTTTTTTTAAACAGAGAATTTTAATGTTACAGAAACACAATGAAGAAAGGATTGTTAAATTATTTACTTACGGTTTTAACCGTATCAACCAAAGTTTGTATATCTCTTCGTAAGGAAAAACCTTTGCAAAACTAAGAAAACATACCTGATGGATTTAAGTAAGATCAACAATAAACTACGACTGTTCTACTGTTTAACTTGCAATGCTGGTTCTTGAAGACAAAACTACGCAAACACCTTCTTGATCATGTCAATATATGGAAGGTAATGTTTTGATGCATGACCATTGTAAACACTACGCGGCGCTGTTATCCGCCTTGTTACTCTTCCTGGTTAAAAATAAATCACACAAATTTAATATTTCATGCAGAACGAGTTTCCAATATCAAAACTAAGTGTTTATGGCTAGAGTTTTATATAAGAAAAATACCAAATAATTACAATAGATCATCATGCCGGCTGCAGGGGACATTTTCTTCGATTTTATGATTAAAGGATTAATTGACACAGAAAGGCGTCAAAGCAAACAATCACTTAAATATCTTTCTAATGCATAAAAAAAACAATAACATGATTTTATTGATCTATTAAAGAGGTATATTGTATATTCACTTTACGATATATGTTATTCATTTTTAATTAATACGCAATGATGAACAATTACAGCCGTAGGTCGGAGACAGAAAAACAACAAAATAGCCTATATTAAAAGAAGCCTACCAACCGTACACAAGATATCATCAGAGGTTTGTTGAATTGTTTTTAAAATTGTCCCTTTTGTGTCTAATGTTTTGATAGTACCACCGAAACTACCAACGTAAATACTCTCACGTCCAGCAGTGATACCATAACACAGAAATCCAACGTTAACTTTGTCGCCCTTTGTCATCGTTGTGGTGTTTATAAATTGTATAGAGTTATCGTAAGGTAGAGTAACAACAGCTCTGTCGGTACCGGGTATCACAGCAGCACCACAAGGTATAGTGGAAAATGTTATATCTGTCTCATAATCTTTACAGTCTCTGTAGACATACATTTTCGGTTCTGAGTACGAATCATTAATGAGGAGTAGTTTATTATCATTTGTGATTGATACAGCTCGAAGATCATATTTCACCCCAGGTTTTAGTTTTACTTCCGTATCCTTCTCAAATTCAGCAATGCGTTTCATTGGTTCTGCATTTATCTGGGCCTGTTGAAATTTCCTTGGTTTGTATTGAACTTGACATGGTTGAGTATACTCTAACAGTGACCCTAGAGACTCAAAATTTACCACTTTCTTTTCATCAAAGGTAATATTGATTTCTTGTGAATCGGATATCATCTGTTGAATCTTTGTCTCGGCGGAATGAATATTTGTTACTTGTTGAAGCAAGAATATAAAGACCTGATTATTTGATCCATGATCTCTCAAGAAATCCATTTCATTTTTATTTTCTTTTACATTGACCAAGACTTGTAATATGTCTTGTTTTTGTTTGTTGATTTCCATTTCATGTTTTATTTGGAGAGAAGAGAAACTGGTGGTAAGTTCACGTTCCAGCTCGTCAATTTGTTTCAACAATTTGGATTTTACTGCTCGAATCTGCTTAGTTATTACTGATTTAGATTTCTCTAATGATTGTAAGTTTGACTGTCTGTTATCGTTTAAAGCATTCAATGTTGTAATATAATGCGTTATGTCTTCCATAACATCGTTAAACAGTGCAGACTTTTTAACATTTTTCGAGGCAAGTTCCAATGGAATTACATTCTGACAAACCCTGTGTTCATTAGAAATACAGGCTTTACAGCATACGATCTCATGGTCTGTGCAGTAATAATCCAAAAGCATTTCGGAATGGACGTTGCAGCTTTTCTTTGCAGACGTAAGAATATTGGATCAGATGGACGACAGGTCGATAATATGGTGAGATTTGAATGCTTTGGATCGGCAATGTGATTCCCCACAGTCTGTACAAAGCCTTTCTTCACAATCGGAGCAATACTTTGTTGCTGTTAATGACTTATTAGCTTCAGAGCAAGGATCACAGAAACTAGCAGATGCCATAGGAAAACTTCTGAAATAAAATAAATTATGTGGTTTTTTTATACTTCAAGCAAAAGATTTTTCAAGATTTTCTGTATTTAAGCAAGTTTTTCTGAGCAGTTTTAGCAGTGATGTTTGAGTATATTCCAATGCGACAACAACTAAACTAGACAAAACCACAAAATACATTGAGAGTTTAATTTCTAGGGGAACTTTATTGTTGTCTCGATATTATGAAAATTTAGAAACAAAACATCTTCCAAAAAGATAATAAATGTAAGTGTCGTCTGTTGATAAAAAAAAAGGTACATAGTAAAATACCAATGTATATGAGGTTATTGTTGTTTTCACCAGGAACATAAAAGGAAGAAAATCGATGAGAGACATTCTTTGACTAGTGAACTTGACCAGAGACATATTCTAATAATTTGATCGTTTTCCAATTAATGCTTATTGTAAGGAATACACAGATGATGCACCCGCTTGTATATAATGTAATAAAGGGACATATCTCAAGAACGGTAAAAGTGACGCTACCAAAATTCAAATTTGATCTGTGTGTTGTGGTAATAAGCATTGTGTATAACATTCCTAACAATTGGTTGAGGCAAACTAAAGTAAGAGAACGGAAACCAATTTTCTAACGCAAGGAGATACGGATGGGAATACACACGGAAAAGGGTAAAACTTAATCCCCCCGTTTGAAATAGTAACGGTGGTCAAGTTTCGCATCAGATCGTGCAAAATGTTATTTGTATATTTTGATATGAAACTGGATTAATGAGCTCATTGTTTTATGCAAAAATAAAACACATGAACCCATTGTTGTGTTATATTGTTTGCTTGGGTTTTTTTTTGATATTTGGTTGTTTTTTATATTTTTAAAGCATTATCTGACATACAAAAAAATGGAATTTCAATGCTATAATAAATCTCATCAAAGTCACCAGGCCTATAATTTCATACACCAGACACGTGTGTCGTCTACATAAGACTCATCAGTGACGCGGGAATCAAAACAGTTGGAAGACCAAATCAATGCAACACAACAAACATTTCATATAAATTACTACAATCACCCTTTGTTTGATAAAAGTAAAACATTTACTCTATAACAAGCGATATTGACGGTTTAAACGATTCGCACTTTCCTAACAGTGATTTTTTACTTCCGTTTTAGTTACATAAAGAAGAAACAGAAAAAGATATATAAGTTTTTTTTTAAACAGAGAATTTTAATGTTACAGAAACACAATGAAGAAAGGATTGTTAAATTATTTACTTACGGTTTTAACCGTATCAACCAAAGTTTGTATATCTCTTCGTAAGGAAAAACCTTTGCAAAACTAAGAAAACATACCTGATGGATTTAAGTAAGATCAACAATAAACTACGACTGTTCTACTGTTTAACTTGCAATGCTGGTTCTTGAAGACAAAACTACGCAAACACCTTCTTGATCATGTCAATATATGGAAGGTAATGTTTTGATGCATGACCATTGTAAACACTACGCGGCGCTGTTATCCGCCTTGTTACTCTTCCTGGTTAAAAATAAATCACACAAATTTAATATTTCATGCAGAACGAGTTTCCAATATCAAAACTAAGTGTTTATGGCTAGAGTTTTATATAAGAAAAATACCAAATAATTACAATAGATCATCATGCCGGCTGCAGGGGACATTTTCTTCGATTTTATGATTAAAGGATTAATTGACACAGAAAGGCGTCAAAGCAAACAATCACTTAAATATCTTTCTAATGCATAAAAAAAACAATAACATGATTTTATTGATCTATTAAAGAGGTATATTGTATATTCACTTTACGATATATGTTATTCATTTTTAATTAATACGCAATGATGAACAATTACAGCCGTAGGTCGGAGACAGAAAAACAACAAAATAGCCTATATTAAAAGAAGCCTACCAACCGTACACTTAACATGCTTAAATAATTAAGAAAACTGAAAATTTAACGACACGAAATAATACCAAAAACCGCAGCTTTTGATATGTAAACAAAAAAAAGACCTTACTACACTTTCAGTCAAATGTTTTATTGAATTCAGATCTTCCTTTTTCTTTTTGTTCTTATCTTTTTTTACCATGTGTTGATTGGAGTTCTTTGATAATTTCTATTTATTTATTCACAGCCGTTGCAGACTCGGGACGGTATAAAGCTCAACATAGTGTACACAGATACCTGTATAATGAAGGAGACGTATAAAGGCAACAATGGTATACCGCTGTTAAAAAGTCATAAATCGATTGAGAGAAAACAAATCCGGGTTCCAAACTAAAACCAAGGGACACACGTCAACAATGAGAGGAAAACAACGGAACAACAGAAACACTGATGTGCAAAAAAAAAAACAAGCGCCAACATACATAGAAACGGACTATTTGATAACTGCCATATTCCTGACTTGGTACAGGACATTTTAAGAAAAAATAGTGGATTGAACCTGGTTTAATGGCTAGCCAAACCTCCCGTTTATATAATTCCCCTCTTGATGTCTTTTGGCTGTTTGTAACGTTTGGTAACTGAAGCTGATGTATTCTGAGTCCTGATTTCATTTTAATCTTATATAACTCGATTCTTGCGTCTTAATGAAGACTAAACGTTTGCATGCTCCTGTATGTTCTTTTGATTTCACCATGTACAAAAATTGTATATTTACATTTATCATTTCGGGGCCTCTTATAGCTGACTATGCGGTATGGGTTTTACTCATTGTTGAAGGCCATACGATGACCTATAGATGTTAAAGTCTTTGTCATCTGGTCTCTTGTGGAGAGTTGTCTCATTGGAAATCATACCACATCTTCATATCAGGTCGAAACCATACTGTTGTTGTTTGTCTATCTTCGACTGAATACACCAGTCATAGCCAATATAAAAAGAACAATAAAAATCCAATAAGCCGTCCACCTAGAATAATGATAAAAATGAAAATCTAACGATACGTTATTCCCTAAAAAACGCGAATGAACACAGGTACTCCAGAAGAGTAGGCAGTTTGATGATATTAGTGATAACCTGAGATAAAGATATTTTATTTTCTTATTCGTGACCTCAAAAGTATTTATGAACAAAAACTAAAACTCATATTTATGGGAAACAACTCGCATAGACGAGTGCAGCAAAGTTTTTTTCCAACAAATACAACTGTCCTCAATCCCTTTGCCAGCACATTAAGCCGCTGCACCATACATGTCTTTCAAACATATATACAAATAAAAATAATGAAATAGGATTCGTTTATATCATAAAACAATATTTACATAATGC